CTCTTCAGCCATCTTATAGGTATGGAGCTGGTGTTATTCTCTCCACTCTACAGATAAAGAAACCGAGGCTCAGGATCATGTACACACAGCTACTAAGTAGCAGAACTGGTCCTGGAGCCCAAATCTGCCCATCTCCCAGCTCAGCTCTTTTCTCAGGAAAGCCTAGCCTCTCCCTGCCCTGGCCGCCTACTTGGCCCTCAGCCCTCCCTGCACTTGCCTTCCAGGCAAGGTGATCCTGGACAAGTACTACTTCCTCTGCGGGCAGCCCTTCCACTTCATCCTCAGGAGGCAGGTGTGTGACGGCCAACAGGACTGTGCCTCGGGGGAAGACGAGCAGCAGTGTGTCAAGAACTACCCTGATGGGCCTCTGGTGGGAGGTGAGTCCAGGGGCTGAGGGGCAAGAGGGTTGGGCACAGCAGGAAGTCAGCTCAGGAAGCCCTGGTCACCTGGGTGGGATCTGCCACTTACTTGTCAGTTTCCATACCTACTGTGAGGTTGGGGAGCAGGACCACATCTTGTTTACCTTTAGATTCTCCAGTATTTAACACATCAAAGACACTCAGTAAATATTTTGTGGACAAATGTGAACCAGAGGGGACAAGAAATTGTCATTGAGCCTGCTGCATTCCTGCTGCACATGGATGGCACTGATGACCTTGAGGGCTGGGTTGGATGATCTTGAGGAGTTCCCTCCTTTCTATGAATCTGTTATTTCAAGGGGCTAGAAAAGAGACTGTAAAGTCATTTAACCAGCTATTGGTCCTGCTAATCCTAAGTATTTATTGCAGCCTGCTAGGTATCAGGAATGGAGTAGGTCCTTCAAAGGAATATGTGATGTTTTAAACATAAAAACCCATGTTCTTTCTTGGATTGGGCTAGCCCAGCTTGAACCACCAAGTACTTGGGCTCTGAAGAGAAAAGATAGCCCAGGTGATGAGTGATGGGGGATTTCAAGGGGCAGGGCTAAGTAACATGCTGTGTATTTGCTCCTTTTGTATCAGAAGTCAAATGCCTGTGGGTACCTGTCATCCTAAGGCTAACAATACTTCTCATTCAAATTTCCCCTTCTGATTTTTCATGGAGAAGGACCTAGGACCCCTTGTCGAGAAGTTTCTCCAAGCGGGCAAATTGTGGTAGATCATGAGTAGAATGACCATATAACTTATCACCACAATTGACACCATAAGAGCAAAAGGAGGCACTGTTAATAATTGTACCAGAGCAACAGGTCAAAATGGAGACTGTCCCGAGGACATTTGGTCACCCTAGCTCCATCAGAAGTCCCTGGTTGGTGCAAATGGTTAACATGTTCTCTGCTAACCAAAAGGTTGGAGCTTAAGTTCACACTCAGAACAAAGGTCTGATTTTTACTTCCAAAAAATCAGCCATTGAAAACCCTAAGGAGCATGGTTCTACTCTGACACGCATGGGATTGCCATGAATCCGAGTCGATTCAACGGCTTAATCAGGCAGAGCCGAATGGAGGCACTTCCCTTGTTATTGAAAGTGTTGGTGCTCTACAGTGCTCCACAGTTCTGGGTGGGGGGAGGTTGGGCTGGTCTCATGATGCGTTCTGAGGGGGACTGGCCAGATGAGCCCTGCCCTCCAGCTGACCCAGCTTCCTCCCCTCCCAGTCCGCCTCTCCAAGGATCGATCCACCCTGCAGGTGCTGGATGCCACCACAGGGGCCTGGGCCTCCGTCTGTTTCGACAGCTTCACGGAAACTCTGGCCAAGACAGCCTGTGGGCAGATGGGCTATGACAGGTACCCAACCCATGCCTCCGGGAGAAAGACCCTGCCGCTAACCCTCCTATCTCTCTCTCTCCCTTCCTCTTTCCCCCCCTTCCTCCTTTCCTACCTCCCTTCCTCTTTCTTTGCTAAAATTATGGGCATTGGAGTCAGACAGACCTGCTTTTGGCTCTTAGCACTTGCGCTACAAGTAACATGAAGTAAATCTCCTAAGCCTCAGTTTCCTCAAGAGTTAATTGAACAAAGCAATGTCAGCCTCATAGGATGATTATGAGGTGTCAGTGAGAGAATGTATGCCCCCCCATACGCACACACATGCATACACACATGCATGTGTGCATGCGCACACACATGCATTCACACATGTATGCATGCACACACAGTTCTAACTCCTTTGCAGCCCTCTCCTTTCTTTTTTTTCCTCAATCCTCACTCCTTCTTCCTTCCTGGCTTTGCAAGACACTGTCTCTGGCCCAGAATTCAAAAACCTTATTCACTGACTAAAGTTCCATTGGTTAAAATTTAGTTTAAGCAAACCTGGTTTCATTGGAGCCCCATAAGCAATCCCAGCTCTCTCAGCAAATTTCAAAAGCAGCTCCAAATCTGGAGTAGATGAAAGTGTATAATTATAATAAGTGTAATTAGCATATGTATTTATATTCATTTGATCCTGGCAGAAAACCAAAAAGGTAGTTATTATTATGCCTATTTTATAGACAGGCTCAGACAGGGTAAGTAACTTGCTAGGGTGGTAGCTGGGAGACAGAGGAGTGGAATTTGTGCCCAAAACCAAAACACCAAACCCGTTGCCAACCAGTTGATTCCGACTCATAGCAACCCTATACCCCGAGGCCCCCTAATTCCTGGGCATAGGATTTCTAGCAGCATCTCTATTTCTAGCTTGGGTAATTCTCTCTTCTCATGGGGCTTTATCTATAAAGAGAGGGGGAGAAGGGAAGTGAGACAGCTGATTACCCAGACAGACTAACTAGAGAAGGAAAAGAACCTATGTGTTCAGCTGCACAGAGGGATAACCTCTCCCAGGCAGGCCCCAAACTCCTTCAGGATTCTAAGAAATTGGGCCCAGAGACTAGGCAGAAATGATGAATACTAGGCAGACATCACCCATCCATCACAGCACTCTCTCCCATCGATCTCTAAAGCAGCCTCAAGTTCCTTTCCCATAAAAGCTCCAGGCAGCCATTACTAATTGATCAGATCTACTTGCCATCTCTGCTTTCTGGTTATCAGGCTTCTGCTGCTCTCTGCCCACCATGGGGTGCAACTGCCAGGGCCCTCTGGAGAGGACACCCCGCCACCTGTATTTTCGAGAAGAGCTGAGAAGGCATGCCCCACAACTGCTATTCTTCTCCCCTTCTTCTTGCTGCAGCAGCCCCTCCTCCCACTGCAGTCTAGCCAACTGCGGTGTCAGCTCTACCGAGGACAGCAGGCTGAGTCTTGATTATGAAACCAGGGGTTCTTAAGGTGATAGGCTCCCGGAATTGCTGTCCTTCCTGAGCTCGCTAAGGTACCAAGTCAGCTGGCTCTTGGGACCTTCAAAATCAAAGTTCGTTAGAATCATTCATCAGAATGTAATTGGTCAACTGGGGTTAAATTTCCAGAGAATGTCTATTTCCACCCTTGTCCCGCCTTCTATTGGGTCCCAGATTTCTCTACTTTCCTTCCTCTGCCTATATTAGGGGCTATTCTTGTCTGAGGACCACAAAACTTTAGATGGCTTAAGGTGGAAAGGATCCTAGGGATCATCTGGTCCACCCATCATTTTACAAAGGGGAAAACTGAAGTTTGGAGAGACCCAGAGAAGGAATGTGACCTACCCAAGGTCACACATCAAACTAGTGTCAGGGCCAAGACAAAAACCTAGGTCTTGAGGGCTCTTAATACAAAACCGAGCACTGCCAGACTCCGGTCCTCCTAGGTCCACCACATGGGTACCAGCATTCCTGGTGGAGAATGTGAAAATACGTCAGTGAGCCAGTGCTACGGATTAACTGCAGCCCTGAGTGCGGAGCTCGTACTAGCATGACTGGTTGGGGAAGGAAGGGAGAGATTTGGAAGAGGCAGATTCAGTAAAGGATTAATCAGAGAGATGGGATTAATCAGGGAATGCTTCCTGGAGGAGGGAAGATTTAAACCCAAGGTTTGAAAGAAGACAAACATGGATTAGTAGAGAGAAAGAGAGAGTCAGGGCCAAGTGAGAGAAATGTTCGTCTGGATTCATTTGAAGACTGGTACAGCCCTGACCTGTCTCCTAGGGGGCTACAAAAAAGTACCCTCGCTACCAAATTCAGGCCAAATGCCTTGTTGGGAGAGCTGAATATCCACATTCCAGTTCCCTCCAAGGTGAGGGAGAAGATAACCTGGATCCCTTTGCCTTCTTGTTCCCCCTACTATGAACAATAAGAGACAACTGGGACAAAGTTTGGGTGCTATATCACTCTGTCCATAAAATAGAGACAGAGCTGGGAGGTAGGAACAGGGATCCCTTTCTCCGGAGCTCTGGGTTCTATACTAGGCTTCCCTGCCCAAGAAAACAAGGCTGTGCCAGCTTTGTGCCTAGGGCTGAGTCCTCAGATGTCAAGGGAATGTACCTTATCATATAACAAACCAAGCTCCACCCTCACTAACCAAGACCACCCCCACTTTCATATCGCTCCCCACTCTGCCACCCACCTTCTCCTAGGACTGGAGGCTACTCCCCACCATCTGGTTCTAATCTCCTGCCCCAGTTCACAACTCTCTGTTCCTCCCAACATGAGCAGCAAACCCACCTTCAGAGCCGTGGGGATTAGCCCAGACCAGGATCTGGATGTCGTTGAAATCACAGAAAACAGCCAGGAGCTTCGTGTGCAGAACTCAAGTGGGTAAGTGAGAGGGTGCATACCTTCTGGCCTACAAAAGGCTAATGTCTGGAGCTGCTATTAGGACTGCAGCCCAGCTCACCCCTGAGCAGACTGGCCGCAAGGGGAAAGTAAGCCAGACAACAGGAAGAACCCCTCTCCAGGCAGATCGTTAAATACCAAGAGTACAGAATTACATTTCTGAGAGGTCTTCTAATGAACAGCTGTTCAGTGGGGCTGAACTAAGTGTGCTGTCCTACCTGAAGGCAGGGAGATGGATAAGCTGACCTTTCCATCAGTCTGAATAATAAAACCAAATGTTTTCTCCTACTGACTTAAGTTCCTAATAAAGCTAACAGACAAGGTTCCAAAGGCCACTTTGTCCTTCCTTGCCACTTATCCAGGCCAGAGTAAGTCCTCCCCACATTCCCAGCTCTCCAGGGAAAGAGACTCCATGGCCTTTGTCAATGGCTGTTCATGGCCTCCCTACCCTGCCTAAAGCACAGCGTCTAAAGGAAATCTGTCACTCTGCAGCAGAGTGGCTCAGAGAGGATGCTGGCTTCTTAGCATTCAGGGGTGTTGCTGAGGGTGCTTATTCATCAAGGAGTAAATCTTGAAAACGACAAGGGTGGTAGCAGAATGATTGTTTGCCTGGAATTCCATTGGAATCCTATTGTTCTTCCTTTTGGAATGCCCGCAGTGCAGCAGACTCTGTTCCAGGCTCTGCTGTCTTCCATCTCAGGCTGCCAGAATCCCCAGTTGGGCTCTGACACGAGCAGGGCCCAGAACAGAGTAGGTGCTCAATAGTAGGGGTGTTGAATCCAATTGAATTGAATTGAATTGCTTTGAACTGTGTGTTAATGCCATTTCTAAGCAGCCTGTACTATGCAGGTTCGTGGTTTCCCAGGTGGTTGGGAGGGAACTTCAATGCGGTAGTGCCAGAAGGCCCAAGTCCCTGCCTCCCAGTCAGGGGAGAAGCAGAAACCATAGGGCCCCTGTGTCTCTCTTCCAGACCCTGTCTCTCAGGCTCCCTGGTTTCCCTGCACTGCCTTGGTGAGTACGCCCCTGTCTCTGGGGATTTGGGCCCTTGGCTGCCAATGAGCAGGAAGAAAGGACTTCACCCTCATTCTTAAATCTCTCGGACTTCAAATATCACTCTGTTTTGGCCCACCCTCACCGCTTTGGGTCTCGGGCTTGTAGGTTGATGATCCTTCCGGTGATTGATGCTAAGAACTCCCTCCTGCCATTGGCACACAACCTGATCAGAGACCTGGAAGAAGGTCTGGTACCCAGGTCTTCTGGGAGAGAGAGTAGGAACACTGGAAATGGCAGGACTGGCCCCCACCCCCTCCTCAACACTAGTCAGGGCTCACATAGACCTCATATGTCACAATCAGTTCAGTTATCCAAGGTCAGATGATCCACATTCAATTTAGCAAAAATTCATTGAAGAGTTAGAATGTGTCTAACACTGCCAGGTGCTGGTTAGAAGTAGAAAATGCCAGACAAGTAAGAGAATTGGCCACTATCCTCAAAGAGCTTATAATTGAGCAGATAGAGATGGAAGGCAACACGTGGGAAGTACCAAGCTGAGTAGTTATCACAGTTGGCATGCTGCAGAGAGAGCTGGACAGGGTCAGAGACCTGAGTACCAGCCCCACTGACTTCCAGTGTGACCTTGAGTATTTCACCTAGCTTCTCAGGGGTTCATTTTCCAAAGAGGCCCATTAGTCCACTGACCAGTGAGGACCTCAGGAGACCCTTCTAGCTCTAACAGAGGAGATCAAAAGAGAAAACCAGCACCATGGCCCAGATTCATCCTATCAGCCTTGTGCGAGAAGTAGAGCTGAGTGGGGCCAGGAGGGATGGACAGAATTGGGAAGGCCTAAGAGGAGAGGAAAACTATCAGTACTGCCTTTGCATCTTAGCAACATGTATGCTTCCCTACTGGATGTTATGATTCTTATCCATCATCACGACCCCCACAGTACCTAGTGGGTGAGGTCTGATACATGGTGGCCAGTCAATGAATGAATGAATGAATGATCACATCAGCTGAGCTTCATTGAGCAGCACCAAAGGCACAAAGAGATATAAGTCACAAACCCACCCTTGAGGAGCCTTCAGTTTCACTGAGAAGACAGGGCTTAAGCATGGCAACAATAAAAGGCTGGCCAACACCCAAGGCAGGCTAAGGACATTCCAAGAGAGGAATGGTTGAATGGCCTGGAGGTAGTGCCTGGGCTAACCACTGAAGAATGAATCTGTAGGCTCCAAGAGGGAAGGGGCCATGTCTGTCTTTCTATCTTGTTTGCCACTCTATTCCCAGCATCTAGTACTGTCCTTGAGACCAATAGGCACTCCGTGTAAATCTGTTGAATTGATTAATGATTTTGATAAACGGGGAGAAGACAGCATTTCAGGGAGGGGATGTCAGTACCTTCTTAAGCAAAAACAGAATGACTTTTTAGAGAACTAGAAGCAGATCGGTTTGGCTAGACAGGGACTTTTTATAAGGACAGCAAGAAGCTGCCAGGAGAAGCTTAAGCTGAACTCTACAAGCAAGGGGGAATACTAAGGGACTTAAGTGAGCTAGTAGGGGACATGCAGAAAGTAGTGTTTGAAATTAGACGGTGTTTGAAAATCCTCTACCTAGTATAGTGCCATGCTCCCAGGATGGGGGTGTTGGCCTTTCCCCCTTAGAACATCCACTGTAGTGGTGGCTACTGGAAAGTGAGAGAAAATGGGGGTGGGGAAATAGGGTTGTAGGTTTTCAAAAGCGTTCAAGGGTGGGACGGGCGAGCCGGGACAGGGGGAAGACAAGATGTCTGATTGGGAAGCTCATTCAGCAGGAGGAAGGGACTTTGAGAAAGGTGATGCTAAGGAATGGAAAGATCCAGTTTTGGAAATTTTCTCCCCACTTCCGGGTCTCAAAGGAGCTTGTGGGCGTCTGTTTACTGTTACTCAGCGGGAGCGGCTGGGGACACTCCACCTAGGCAGATTTTCATAATTCTGCATCACTGGTTTGAAGGTTATGAATTCCCAGCACAATAGACACACCCATGTTCACAAGCTGAACTCCTAAACACATCCAAAGCCGGAAAGAGGAGAGGGAGATTTGGGGAGAGACTGTGGTCTGGGACAGTCAGTACTTGCCATGAATAATTTGAAACTGGTTTGATTCTTCCCTACCCTCCTGTGACAGTCACACGGGCCGTGCTCAAGATAGACTTTGGGCTCTAAGGGGAGGCAGCCCAATCCCCCAAGAGTCTAACTTCCTGCTTTCTCCCTCCTTCCTACCGAGCCCAGCCTGTGGGGAGAGCCTGAAGGCCCCTCGGGTGGTGGGCGGGGAGAAGGCCTCTGTGGATTCTTGGCCTTGGCAGGTCAGTGTCCAATACGATAGAAAACACATCTGTGGAGGGAGTATCCTGGACCCTCACTGGATTCTCACGGCAGCCCACTGCTTCAGGTAAGGCCCAAAGCTGCTAGGTGACCTTGGGGGATCAAGGCCATAGACGGGTCAGAGTGGCTGGGACCCTGTCTTCTGACTTGTTGTCTGATGGCCTCACTCCCTGTCACTCTCACCCTGGAGGCCATGTACTAGAGTTTGGCCACCCCAATAAGGCATTGGACAGGGTGTCCTTTTTTAAGCATTGAAGGTCTAATTAGAGGGTGCTGTCACCAAGCTTGACATCTGCTCGGTGGGAAACCATCAGACATCCAGCGTCCTCACCCCCTCCCCACTGCCCCCAACCACACACACACAAGCTATCACCATCTCCCTGGAGTCTCCAGTGCTTTTTGTCAGCCTTCTAGGAAGTGGTTCCAGGATCTAGAGTCACTGCCACTCCCTTCTTATGTCCAGAAACTTTTAAAAAATAACTATAGATTCCCTTACAGGCCAGCCAAGAAAGGACTGCCTATATTTCTGGGAAAAGATCACTCCCAGGCCCTCTTCACTTTCATTCATTCATTCAACATACACTGAGTACCTACTACGTACCAAGCACCATATTATGTACCCAATATTATGTACCTAAGCGCACTAGACACCATCCTGCCTTCGAGGAGCTCATGGTCTAGGTCACTGGTTCTTAACTTTTTTTTGATAATCTAACAAAAGCTATGAATTCTTTCCTGGAAAGACACCCTTGCATACAAAGGAGTGTCTGCTGTAGGGAGAAAGACAGGTACGTTATGTAACTGACCACAATACAAATACCATTTGACTAATATAGACCATAGAAAGGGTTAAAGGAGAGAATACCAGGGGCTCTACAGCTCGGGCATTGGGAACAGCCCCTTCCCCAGCTCACCAGCTGAAAGTTTCCTGGGGTGGGTTTTACTGGGGAAGAAGGATCAAATTCCCTTTTAGAACTTGACTTGTGGTGGGTACTCCTCAGACGGCCCCTACTCCACCATCTCCTGCCCCCACCATCATGTTGCCTCCTAAGGCAGGGACACCCAGTACTGGAATCCACAGGACCATGGGGACCCAGCCTTTGGCATGCTTGGCTCAAGCCTGAACTCAGCTATTCTCTGGTCCCAGGAAGCACCTTGATGTGTCCAACTGGAAAGTGAGGGTCGGCTCAGACAAAATGGGCAACTTCCCATCCCTACCTGTGGCCAAAATCTTCATCATTGAGCTCAACACCATGTACGCCAAAGAGAAAGACATTGCCCTCATGAAGCTGCAGTTCCCACTCACATTCTCAGGTGAGAGGCGGTACCTGGGAACAGAGGGAGACCCAAGCCCTTTAGGGTCAGGTTCTAGTTTCACTCTGCCCGTAGCTTACCAAGTGGCCTTGGACACACCGCTTTTCCTTCTCAAGCCCTCAGCTTGCACATTTGGTTCCATCTACTATATTAGCTTAACCTCACTGAATGCCATGAGCCCTCTCAGAGCTGTCAGCTAGCGTGCCACACCATCCTCCTTCTTTGTGGGTCTGTCTTCTCCATTTGGAGCACCTAGAGTCAGAGTTATACAGATTCATCCAATCTTGGAGTTGCAAGGGACCTAAAAGATCATCTAGTCTATCCCCTACCCCAACCAGTGCCCAAAAGCCTGCACAATATTCCTTGCCAAGGGTCACTGTGCCCCTGTTTGCTCTCCCGAGGGGTAGAGAGCTTATTATTTCTAAGGGAGACCATAGAACCTTTGAACAGTTCTGTTAGATGACTCACACTTATATTTAGTAGTATTTAGATCAGCATGCCAACTGTGGACACTGGTTCCTTGGGGAAAAGACGGTTCCATTGTTAACTAAGTTTGGGAAACACTTTCATACTATAACTCCCTCCTTGGAGAATCATGGGGCACATTAGTA